AATATTAACTAATAATATATTAATAATAATAATAATAAAAGAATTAGCAGCATAATTTAATACTAATTTTATAATGAATTAAAAAAAAAATTTTGTGAAAACTAAGTTTTGTGAAACTAAGTTTTGAAAATATAAACAAATTATTATTAAGATATTTTTCATTAGTTTCAAACTTTGTAGGAAGATTTGTAATATTTAACGAAAATTAATATAGAGACATTTAATGATATAATAATTTTGCTAAAAATCTGATTTCAAATTAATCATGTAATACAATAGATGAAGAATTTTGATAGATATGAAGTATCAAATATGTATACATTAGTTATAAGTCAACTAAGCAAACTAATATATTCATATTGATCATTCTCGATAAATGAATCTAGCTTAATGATGAAATACCGATGCATATGGAGTAAGTGCCTTGCGGTTGTATTCCTCTCTTCGTACTCCTATTAGCCTGACCATACTGTTTGCACTAAATTCTAATAAATATGCCACAAAACATAAACGTCCGCGGACCGACGATTAGTGTGATATAAATCAATTTTTGGCATCGAGTAACATCGCCAAATCGCGCTGAAAGTCACACGCCAAGTGAATCGGACATGGAAAATCCATTTGGATTTATCAAGATCCGCATCGTTTAATATGCGGTTGGATAAATTCCTTAAAAGCTACCTGTCGGGAAATCTCTATTCGAAGGAACTGCGGGGCAAATCGTTCTCGAAAACGAGGAACCCTCGAGTTGAGATGCGACTTTTGCTTAACATTCCGCAGGGTCGACGCAGATTTGTGTTCATAATACCGCCGAATAACGTGCCGTATTTTCTCCAAAGGAGGGTGCAATTATGGCGTAACATCTATCTCGAGTGGTGCGTAATGTAGTGGTGCCCTCGGACGCCATGCTGTCTAGAGGGTCTACTTCCATATTACCTAAAACTGACCGATCAACGGATACTTATGTTTAATATTATATAGATAAAAGAGAATCTTGCAAAACTAATTTAAATTTATCACAACGTTTATATTGCGTAGATAATATTTGTTTATTAAAATTGCGATTTTTTGATGATAATACCTATAAATTTGTATTGCATATGTGCTTTTGAGAAGGAGGAGGACAAAAGGGAAAAAGAAAATGGATATGTTAGAACAGGGTGAAAGTACTTAAGTGCTTCAGATACTTTCTCATCTACTTACGCCATTGTTGAAAGCAAGGAAAGTTTTTCCTCTCTTCTACAAATAACCATGCATACGCGCATACATGTACACTCATTAATTTCTGCATTATCTCCAACGTTGACCGTAATTTACTAACTAACAATATATTACCTAACAAGTATACTCGACCAATGTTAGTTTCCTGTGATACTCCTTTATGAAGATACTTTTCTAATAAATGAAAAATATGTACAATTTCAAACAAATTAATATATTTTACACAAAATAGAATACTATTACTCCAATATCACAATTATTTATATTAATGTATTAAATAAAGTATTTTGAAATTTTAGTTATGTAAAAATATATCTCGAAAAGGATAAAAAGATGTATCTCGAAAGGTATAAGCATTTTTTTTTTAATTATTTTTCTTTATACAAATATAAGTATTTGAAATTATATTTTTCAATTAATTTCAAATAAATTTTGCTGAAGAATTTTAATATATAAATATTAGTTATAAAATACAATGTTAAAAAAATTACAAAATGACGATGATGACCTTCGCTAATATTTTCAGATTGATCAGGGAATTTATGAAAGTTTCTCGCGAGTAGCGGATATTCGTGTGTGAAATATTAACTCGGTTGTCGAGAAAATTTGTGACCGAGATCTTATAAGACGACGTCACAAAAAAGTGACGTTCCTTGAAGCCGCGGTGACCGGTCATGGCGGGAACGTGCGATCGACGGGCACGATTATCGATCAAGAGTACGTAAACACACACGTACGAAGGGCTAGGGCACTTAGCGTATGTTTGTTTAGTGCCTTTTACGGCTATATCCGTGGGACGTCGCCTGTATTAGGCAGGGGCCAGTGTCTGGCACGTAGTTGAGAGTCCTGCGGCGCCGTGCTTCGAGAGGGTCATTTATAACTGTTATCGTGAAACTTACTAGCCCACTTACTACCCTCCGCTGTCTGTTCCCTTCTCTGTCGCGCATGGAAAGTATAGTTACAGTAGAGGCAGCAGCAGCAGCAGCAGCAGCAGCAGCAGTAGCAGCAGTAGCAGCAGTAGCAGCAGTAGCAGCAGTAGCAGCAGCAGCAGCAGCAGCAGCAGCAGTAGCAGTAGCAGCAGCTATTCCATCACAGTTTCTTTTATCTATCGATCGTGTATCCGACCAATGGATACTGCCACTCTGTAATGACACTCCTGGACTCCTAGATCGATGAATCTCGTACATACTCCCGCTTTTACAATTTCTGCATTTTGCCGGATGGCAAAATGATACAGAATATTTAATATTAATCTACGGTCAACACGGATTAATCCGTCGATGCTGCTAACATTAATTGTTTATTTCACGTGTAACGAATTTTGCTCATACATATACTCTATAAAATAATTAAATATACAGAAGAAAGAGTGCATGAGTAATGGTCGAGCGTTAATATAACTGATGTATTATAGGTAATGTAAATAATAAAGTTTATTAGAATATATGTATATATTAAAAGTAATAATTAATGTTTGATTACATTGTAATGAAATATATTAACTAGGTTAATCTATTGTAAACATGCAGAGTCGTTAATGAATAATAATAATCGAATCGATCGAAAAATAAAAGCCTGTTTGCTTAAAATTTCCATAATTTTCTGCAGCTTGTCTTTAAAGAGCCAATAACCTCCTAAAGTATATGTGTACTTTAATTACTAAAGATAATTACGTCATCATAAGAGCTGTTGAGGAACAGAGGTTTACTATGATAATATAGAGTATACCCAATATCTTGCTGAGTTATGTAGCGTGCTCGATACTGCTATTGTATACTTCATATATACCATCACAGACATATAGTATTGCGTATGTACAAATCGTTACTAAGCTTATGAGCTTAAACAATTATTTTTTTAACATCAAAATTTATAAACACATAAATAAAAATAAAATTAATATTGTAGTAATGAGAGAATTTTAAATTCATGTTTAACATGTGAATGACATTTTATTCGTTTTATTATACATTTTCATCGCAAACGTCGCTCTCTCTCTCTCTCTTTCTCTCTTTCTCTCTCTCTCTCTCTCTAGTGTATATGTATGTACATAGGTACATATATCTATGTAGAGTCATATACATATATATGTACGTACATAGTTAATATACACTATAATTATAAACAAGGTGTTCCATTTTAGTTTATCCCTTTAGAAAACGTTTTTATTTCTTATTGTAAAAATAAATGTTCTCTAGACAAAAGTTGTATGATGAAGAAGCGCAAATAATGACAAAATTAATTTTAGAAAAAATCAATTTTTTAAAATCATATGAAGGTTATCATCACTTTTTAAAATGGAATTATATCTGTAGTTTTTTTTATGTAATATGATTTCTCTAATTATATTCTGCACATAAACGTATTATCGTAAAACTATTGAAAAATCAATCATTTAAAGGTTATTGTATATTTTATTTTGGCATAAAATATAAAAAGTATCTCGTAAACTATTAATTTTTTGATAATCGTATCTTAATAATACTTTTATATACAGAATAATGAAATATCTAAATCGATTGGTGTAAAAAAAGAAATACATCACAGTTGCTTTAAAAAAATATGTAGTTGTATATTGTAAAATGCAATAATTTTTCAAATAATTCTTTTATTATTTCATATATCTTAAGTGTTATATAATATAAATACAAAATCGAAAGCAAACAATTTCAAATATCGCGTGCATAACTCTAACTTTTAAAAATGTAGTCAATTCGTTTCATGTGGATACAATTCCCTCTCGTTTGAAACTTTCGTTTCACGTAGATATCTTTCAATTAAACATTTCCCCGTATGTAACAGATCAGCATGAACAATTGTTCACAATCCCGATCAACGCGCGTTATTTCGCGTACAATACATTAGCAATTTTCACAGTCGGCGCGAATGTTCCACCGATCGACGAGCGCCTACTCTTCTATCTACTGTTGGGGACAACCAACTTGCAACACCTCGCGCACACGTGTGGGCGCACAAAAGCCTGGGCGGAATAATTTATTTAGCTCGAGCAATGCAATAATGGCAGACTCGCACCGAGTGCAAACTGCAGAACGCGTTCATTACCGCGATCTGGGCGAGAGTG